TTGAAAAATATCTGTCATTTCAAAGTTTTGGGGTGTGGACCATCGGGGGTAGTCCGTTCCTGACTTTGTAGCAAAACAACTGACTCCTGCATGAAAGCTCATCGACGGAATTCATTTGTTTAGTCAATTACCAAAATTTGGATAATTTTGAATATTCACTTGAAAAGTTATCAAAGAAAAACATTTTTCATTTTGTAACTTCGAGGGCCCGTAACTTGGTTACGAAGACTTTTAGGAAAAAAAGTTATATGAAGTACTGGTAATATTTTGACCCCATTTATACATTCCCGAGAGGAAAAGAGGAAGTCCAGGGACACCCTGTATACACACATCAATTCAATGCAGAGTGCAACAGACTGTTGGTTGACATTGGAAGTCACAGCATTCTGGAAATGACCTCTGACTTCATACCTCCACCTGTCAACTACGAACTGCCTTATGAAGTACTATTCCCGAGTACAGAGGACCGGATCCTCCGGGAAAAGGAAATATTAAGAGCAGATAGTTGTTGGTTGGAAGCTCTTGGCTCCTACCGAGCAACGTCTGAATAGATAGCAAACTGCCAAAAACCACTCTCCTCGAAAGGAAGACTTAACAGATTGTCTCTGGTATGGATTCCTGGCCATACTGGCCTGGAAGGCAATGAAGCTGCTGACTCTCTTGCAAAGGAGGGTGCTGCAAGCGGCTTCATTGGACCAGAACCTGTCATTGGCATCGCTTTGGGTTTTGCCAAACAAACCCTGAACACCTGGATGGCAAGAAGATTTATGGACTTCTGACAGAATCTTTCAGGATTGTCTCACTCCAAGGCATTCATTCACCCTTCGAAACTTGATTCCGAACAGTTTTTGGACTACAGTAGGGTTGAACTACGATGTCTAACAGGCCTTCTCACAGGTCACTGTCATTTGAATTATCATATGCAGAGACTTGAACTGTCGGAAGATAGTATGTGTCGCCTCTGTCTGAAAAATTATGAAACAGCAGAGCATATACTTTGTGCCTGCCTTGCTGGGGACCGAATCAGGTTCTTTGAGTTCAGCAGATCCGTACTCTCACCATCTGACCTGAAAGACCACTCACCATACAAACTAATCGGCTTCGTTAAGAAGCTGGGTTTATTTGACAGAGTGTGAATAGGTGTGAGCCACAATAAATCCTTGTGGATTGCGGTGGAGGGTCGAATAAACCCACTCACTTTCGACCTACCTACCTACATACGAAATATTCAATGCCTCGAATTTGAGTTTCAACACGATCCGATGCTTGGATGAAATAATGTCGATACTTGTTGATTTCTAGACACTGCAATTCTGAAATTCTCTCGACAAACTTCTAAACAGTTATTTTTTGTTCATTCGCAAAGTAAGTCAAGGCTAACTAGAAAAAAGTCTTGTATTTAGAAGAAAACCTTTGAATAAATTGTTGATATTGTTGATGTTAATGAGAAAACGCATCACTGGTACTGAATATATGCGTTGTCTGCATCTGAAGATATGCGTTATTACCGTGCTTAAAAAATGCAAAAGATAAGTCCACTCTGATCTATATTACATCTCGTAAACTGAAATGTGTTTTTGATGAAATTTCCAGAGGTTTACAGAGTAGGCCATCAAAAGGGTTCCTTAAAGTAGAACAGCCAGGAAAAGACTTCACATGAATCTTCAAGCTTCTGAGCAACAGTGTCTTCTCCCAAATTGTTTGAGTAGGAATAGCGGTCGACTGATACTCCATTGGATAAGGATCTCAGTTTTATCCATCATATAATTTCAACAAATCGTGCATTTCCACTCTAAAAATTATCTTCAAATAATGATCCATCCATATCGATTGTACTGACCACTTGATTTTTTTTATTCTAAAGAGCTCCGATCAGTATTCACAAATGTTTTATTCATTCTTCGGGTTCTTCATTTTCAGTATTTTTTTCTGTGTGCGCCTAGTATATTGAAAGAAAATAGTTTATTCTCAATGTTTCAGAACAGGAAACCCTAGTTCTATTATCGGAAACGCTAGATTAGACTCTGACTCTGGTGAAGCAAAACTTTTGGTCCGATTTCCTTCAGTTCCATGTAAGTAAATTGTTGACGATCCATTTATTTCAATTAGTAAAACTAAATGACAATATTTCTCTGAGTGATTCATAACCAGCCCAAACATTCACGTTGNCCTAGGTCGCCTGATTTAAATAGTCTAGATTTTTTCCTATGGGGATATCTCAAATCTCTAGTGTATACAACACCAGTGAATAACGTGGATGACTTACGAAATCGGATAATAAATGCATTTGAAACTGTAAGAAATACTCCGGGAGTCTTCGCAAGAGTACGGGCATCAATGAGAAGAAGAGCGGACGCATGTATAAGGGTAGGAGGGGGTCACTTTCAACATTTGTTATAATGCAGTTTAATTGTTATTATTTAGGTTTTTGTATTGTAAAATAAATCATTTCTACAAAAAATCTTTAATTTTTTTCTCGATAACGGTCGCAGAAACGAAAAGAGTTTCTAAACAAAAAAAGTTTCCAAATAAAACGGAAAATTCATTTTGTATTTTAGAATCTACCAGCGGCGCACAGTAAAAAAGTTCAGGGGGAGAAAATGGAACATGACTCCTGAAAAAATATCACCTTGTAGAATCAACAACCATCTGACAAAACCCACTAATGTATGCCCTATAACGCAATCTAGATTCCAAATTTGAGCTCAATATCTCAAAAACTGCAGGAGCTCCAAAGAAATAACAAGAAAAATCTTGTAATTTCAACACCCTGTAAATCGGTAACGAAGCGTTTGCGGACCTATGATTATATGAACTTTCAGTTATGAAATAAGCCAAAGAACTACCCCCTTTCGTATGTGCACGATGTTTAGGAACACCCTGTATGTTACAGATTATTCTCTAAACAACTCACATAGTAGGTTGTAGACATACAATAATTTTTTTCAGAATTAGGCTAGAGACTTTCTTTTCTAGGAATATACAGGATTGTTTCCCCATAAAACTCATCAATCTCCGAATTTGAAATTTAAAAACTACTGAGAACCAAATACTCCCAGATTTATTCCTGGTAGGAACAATAATAAAATTCATCAATTATTGAATGATGATATGAGAAAAAAGCACAGCAATGATATGCTGAATTCGATATCTATGAAAATTTCCTCAAATATTATGGCATGGAGGAAGAAACCCCTCAAGAACAGGTCAGCAAACGTTTTCCCCCAAGTGATGAATCATCAAAACCAGAGGCGAAAAAGCCCTACACGGTTGAATCTAAGGCATCGCCAGGTGTAGCTGACATGCAAAAACCCTCATATAGGAAGGTTGTCGCGGGTATCAAGGTAGGAATCTCACAACTTGACTATCCGACTACCTCATTAACGATGAAACAGCAGAGCATATACTTTGTGCCTGCCCCGCTGGGGACCGAATCAGGTTTTTAGAGTTAGGTAGAGCCGTACTCTGACCATCTGACCTGAAAGACCACTCGCTATATAAACTAATCGGCTTCGTTTATTTGGTCGAGTGTGAGTAGGTGTGAGCCACAATAAACCCTCGCGGGTTACGGTGGAGGGTCAAATAGACCCACTCACTTTGGACCTAACCTAACCTAATATTATGACAAACTGAAAAACTGATGGATCTGAAGTTATCAACCACAACACTGTTGCATTGTGCCCATTTTATCAGTGAGGTGATATTCTCAACAAGTTATTTAATACATTTCCAGTGACTATAACCATTGGGGCAGTAATTATCATCAGTAGGAACTATTTTTCTTATACATTTTTGCAGTTCAACATATCAATAAATTCAATAAGAACTTGAAACATCTGGCATGAAATGAATCTACTACGTTCATAATTTGTCGATAGCACAAAATGAGGGCCCAAGTCATAAAACGGTCGTAAAACTCGTAAAATCATAGGCGGAGGTTCCTGAGTTGTTTATATATAAAGCTTCAGTTTATATTCGAAACTTGCCTTGAAAGGGTGAAGTTGTTACGAACGAAAATAATTTTTGGTTTAGTACATTTTTTAATCGCATTTAATTTACGGCTCCTTTGTGTTTCGGCGTCTACGGCAGTAATTAACGTCTTTAATATTTATTTTGCGAATTTTGTGCAGTGCGTGAGTAACTTTTTTTCATATTCCTACAAACATATACGTACCTTTCGTTCCTGCTTGTTTTGTTTGATTGCTTGCGATGNAGCTGTATTGTATTTCTTCAGATACAAGGTGGGTTAGTCGAAAACATCTTAAACTGCCAGTTTTAGTTTGGTTTTTGTTATTATATCATATTAGCTGCCCTCTCTGTATTTCAGTTCTCTAATGAGGGTCAAACTTGCAGTGAGCTATCAACAAATTATGAACGGACTATAAAAACACTTGTTTCTCACGAGAACGAAAACGTTTGTCTCTCAACGCGCGTCGTTTGGAGATTATTGAGACCTAATAATTTCTAGATGCATCCGAATAAATAAAGCAACTGGGTATAGGACAATTTTTCAGGTGGAATGAAGGGACATAAATTAGCACTTTCTTTAGCCGTATCAGTACTTGACATTTTAAAAATTTTGAATGGAATAAATTCATTATTTTGGTTACGTTACATATTTTAAAAAACTTATTTCATCTTGGGGTATTTATAATAAGAGAGTAAGCAAAAACCATAGAAATGTTGTTTTTAGATGGTATCCTTTGAAAAACTGTAAGTAATTTCCGTGGCAACGTTAGTTTAAAACGCCTTGTCAACTTTTTTTGTATGTTACACATTAGTTGTCAGTATTTGGATTTAAGTTGAAAGTTCTTTAACTTCAAGTCTGACAAATGGTTAAATTAACGGAAATGCATAAAATAACAGTTTTACAAATGATTGGTTACGGAGATAAAACCCAAACACAACAGGAAGTAGTCCGCCTATTTCATGAGAAATTTCCTAATTTACCGCCCATATCTCAAGGAACAATAAGCAAAATAGAGCTTGGTCTTGTGATGCAGATAAAAAAAGCAGCTGCCAATTCAATGAGTGATGAACTCAAATTAGATGTGATGATTGAGTTTGTTGAAAACCCACGTGCATCGAGTAGACAGGCATCCACTACATTGAATATCAGCCATACATCGATAGTAAATATATTAAAAGGAAATAAAATGCATCCCTATAAAATAATACCTATTCAGGAGCTCATGGAAGACGATTTTGATAGAAGAACTTATTTTTGTGAGCAAATTATGGACGTGTTGTTGGATAACAATATCATCCAATTAGAAGACGTTATGTTTTCTGATGAGTGTACTTTGTCTCTTAACGGTCATGCTAATCGGCAAAATTTCCGCTACTGGTCAACGGAAAATCCTCACTGGATGAGAGAAGAACACACGCAATACCCTCAATGGGTTAATGTTTGGCAGGGATTGTAGGAAACCATATCATTGGTTCCTTTCTAATTGAGGGCAACTTGATTGGCGATAATTATTTGGTACTACTTCAAAATGATGTCATTTTGAGTTTAGCAAATTTATATCCTGATCCAGGAAACCTCAAGTTCCAGTGAATACGTTATAGTTTCAGCAGGATGGAGTACCACCACATTACCAAGTTGATGTCAGGCAATACCAATACAACATTCCACAATCGGTGGATAGGGAGGCGATGATCGATTGAACGGCCAGCACGATCACCTGATCTTTCATCAGATTTTTTTATGGGGATATGTGAAGAGCAATGTGTACAGAACTGAACCTTCAGATTTGAATGAGTTAAAAGAACGAATAACGCTTGCGATTAAGTCGGTCACGTCTGATATGTTAAATAATGTTAGAATACAGTTTCATTTGAGATAAGGATGTTGCCAAGACGTTCGCGGTGAACATATTGAACATCTACTTCGTTAACATCCATAGCTCTTTTTCATTTTCCACATTTCAATACGTTTTGCATTACATTTTAGTTTTTGATTGTATTTTATCGCATTTCGGTAACCACATGATTTCAATCAATTTCATCTCAATTGTTGCAATAAACTTGAAAGATATAACTTTTTTGAATAGAGAATGAAGAGACCTTTCAAACGATATATCACAAACCTATAATTCGATATGTCATTCGAAGGTGATTGAAGAAAGGGGTGGCATTTTTACGTTGAAGAATGTCAAATTATAATTTACATTTGACGTGTTTCGGTATTTCTCTCAAATATGTACAGTAACCGAAATAATGAATGTATTCCATTTGGCTTTTACGCACTGTATGTACACACTACAGGCGTTAAGATGTAACTCACCACTCCAACACTGTAGCGATATACCTGAATGAAATCCGCTAGCCGATTTCAGTTAAATCTGATTGGCCACCGTACGGAGGCTTGTTTATTCTACGCAATAGATGCAAATGTTAGTGGTGACCATGCACTCATTACGCATCTATCATTGTTTGGGTTACTTTGTTTGTTGGGTAGACAGAGTTAAGACACTTTACGAAATCGCAACATGCGTTTTGCTATACAACAGCTTTCTCAAGCGTTTTCATACTGATGATGCTGACTTGTTTAGCGAAACGCGTGTCGAGAGACAGCATTTTTGTTCTGGTGAGAAAAATGTGTTTCCAATAGATATCACAATATCTGAGTCATGGTATTAATTCTAACCGCAACTCGTTTTCTCATGTAGACTAGTAGACCATGTAACCTGTTTCCAATAGTGTTAGTCTACATCATTGTTCATTTGATTGAAAATATGATTCATTAATAGGAAACATATTAGTTGAATTATAATATTACCAATATGTCAATGATGACAATTAAGCAAATTGATGTCAAAAGTCAAGTAATGCCACACACTAAATTTCTTTTGAAAAATTTTAATACAATTCTGATTTTTTTGTAGTTCAATTAGATGCTCCATATTGGGTATTGGATACAGACTACCAAAAATACTCCGTAGTATGGTCATGTTTTGAATTGGGACCATTTTCTGCTCGTAAGTAAATATTAAATTACACGAAAAAAATGTATCTTCTGTAATACCAATAATAAATACTGGATTTGCAGTACGCAGAAATGAATGAAAGAAAGAGTTAATTGAAAAAATAAGACCGAACTGATTTCAACCCAGTCCTCATGTTCACTAGATAGTCGCATTTACCGACAACGCTATCGGAGTCACCATTACATAATTTCAATAATAATAATAATTTTTATTTTCCAGAAGAACAATACAAGTATTGTTAAGAAGTAGTCGTATATCTAAAAACAAAATTAAGATATCTAAAATTATAATTAAGATTAAGGGAAGCAGTAAACATAATAAGGCGACATTCATACATATATAAGCAAAAATACACATATATGTATAACTGACGGATCATAAACGATTTACAAATACCTATTATAGTCTCTGCTAACTTTAGCATTTTTCAATTAGAAACTGTTGAAGATATTTTTTAAAACACGTTAAGGTTTGACTCTTTCTTACATAGTCTGGTAATTTATTGAATAATTAAGGGCCTAGTGAGTTAGGAGATTCTTTGGATATTTGAACCGTATAAAAGAGTATATTCAGTTAATTTTCTATTCTTGTGTCATGTGTCATTAGACAGAACTGATCTCAAATTACATGATTGAGAGAAAACAAAATTCAATTTATTGATTGAGATTTCACAATGTTCTCCCCAGGAAATATGTTCGTGTATATATAAACCATGATCTTATGTACTGCCTGTAAGTCACCGAACTCAACGACACTAACTTCTTTTTGTCTATTATGAAATCGTACACATTTTGTTTTATTTGTATTCAGCCTATACCCATCGACATGTCGCGGCCCCAAGGATGGTCATTACCACCTATGACACTTTTACGGTATTAACGATACCGGTGTTGTCCTATGCTGCGATGCAATATAGAAACCGTTGTGGGACATGGAGATTAATGAGTGCCAAATTAATTGGAAATACAAGCTAATAAGCCTGATGTAGTTTTTCTCAACCATTACAGCAAGACGATATACATGGTGGAATTGTTCAGCTACAAATGAGACGAATATTGTTCAAACAGAAGAGAAAAAAGGAATAAAATATCGAAAAAAATTTATGAAAATTTTTCCGAATTCCGCAGACTCTATCCAGATCACACTGTTGAGGTGGTTGTTCTGATTATTGGAGTATTTGGAGACCTATCGAATTTCAGAATCATTTCGGACAAGTGCAGAAGGCTGCCATGGCCCTATGATTACATAACTCATGGAGTGGGAAGTGGTCATTGGTTGAAGAATGCTTGCGCGCCCTCCTGAATGTGTCTTGGCTCCCGACCAGCTCACCTATTGGTAATGATAATAATCATAATAATAATGATAATATGCATGGTCCACGATGATGAGAGGGCCGCAATTGAAGCATTTCTCTTCAGGGCAGCTGCGGTAAGCTTATGAACTCGGTTTAGTTTTTGACACTGAACAAGGTGATCACAACTCTGTCGCCGAGTTAAAATCCGTCTGGCAGAAGGCCTACATAAATTCCGCAGAGATCACTTGACTACTGCGGCAACACTAGGATAAACCAAGGCATGGGGTCTTAGAGCGTCCGACAGTCACTTTCCTCAGATCGGGTGTGCTGAAGTCGGAAACTGAGAGGTTCATCATTGGCCGTCAGAATAATTTTTTCAACACCTCAGTTTATCACAGTCGGTATAAAGATGGCTGACACAAGATGCAGAGCCGCCTGCAACGAGGTGTCTGAGACCCTAACGCACCTGCTATCATCATGTTCAGCGTATGGTGTCTCGGCCTATATCCATCAACATTACGCGGTCCAAGGGGTGTTTTATTGCCGCCTACGACATTTTAACGATATAACAAGAGACCGGTGTTGCCATACGCTCCAGGAAATATCTGATCCGTTGTAGGCAATGTGGAATGAGAAATGCCGATTTCAATGAACACAAGCTAATGAAGATGATTCAAGCTTATCGCTCACTTGTCCGGCACAGCACAGCACGGCGCTGTCCGTCGCCTGATGGCGACGGGTAGTAGCATCGCCCACTTGTCCAGCGACAACCAGCATACTGAAGGTGCTGTTTGTTAGATTTCAAGGGAAATAGTCACAAAAAGCAATGTTGTCGGTCCATCCCATTTATCAAAAGGGGGTAAACCTGGGAGAGTTTCATCATCTTTTCAACGATCTGAAAGAAGACTAGGAGAAAATTTATCCAGTATTTCCGATCGGAGAGCTGGAAGCCTTTCCGGCGGCGGACGGTCTTGGCTGTGCCGTGCCGGGCTTAGTGAGCGCCGGTCCATTCATTTTCATTGTTCCAATCCTATCCGTATTTTGACGGGACGTGCCGTGCTGTGCTGTGCCGGACAAGTGGGCGATAAGCTTTAATCATTATCAACCAATAGAAGCAAAACGATAATTGTCTTGAAGTTTTCAACTCCTGGCGAGACGAATGTTGACCGAAAAGAGAAGAAAAAAAACGGGGACAATATCGAAATGTTCTCTTTGAAGTCCACAAACTGTATCCACAAAACTCTGTCAAGGATAGATTGCGGTGATTCTCTTGCGCATATATTGTGAACGACGAGTGACTCAAGATTACCAACCTCATTGATTTCTCTAAATCTGATTATCGATTAGCAGTCTCGGAATATGGTCTTGTATCCTGATGCCGTGTTCTACAATTAGGTATTAACATATTGAGAAACTTCTTGATACATTTGATTTTTGCTAGAAATCTTAAGCATGATGCAAATAATCTCATTTTTGGTATACTGAAATTATCAAAAAAAAAAAACGTTAAATTATGGTCCACTCATAAAAAGGCATGCCGGATGTTGTCAAATACAGATGAAACATCCAATTGATGAAATGCGGGCTTGAAAAGTTGTGGTTCATTTGTTGGGAATCCAAATAACATTTGACCGAATAATGGATATTAGTATGAGAATTCGAAGATTTTTTCCCACTATCCTGAAAAATCTATACAGAGTTCCAAATAATACTTTTTTCGAAGTTTGATTACCATGTTTTTTACTTGGTGAAGGTTAGATAAGATTAGGTTAATATGAAGATAGCTTAACGTGGTTCGAGAGTGCACGTAATCTATAGGAATCAATAACAAAATTTCAGATAATGATATGTTGTGTATAACGAAAATAATAAAACGCAAAATATTATACACTGATCTCCACAAAATAATGAATACTTTTTCAATACTTCAACTGTGACAAACTCTTCAGTTTTCCCTAGAATATTTATGTATATAGGATATTCACGTTATAAAAAGAGAATGACGTCACAAGATGACAAGTTACGGGACAAGTTACGGGATTGCCAACATGTGTACTATTTCGAACTTTTTTATATTGTTGATTTGTTTCATTGCTATCAACCTTAATTACTATTAACTAACTTAGTTGAAATACAAATTTGTTGAGACTGTTTCGACAATGCTTTAAGCATATTGATTATACGCAAGTCTCATGGATAGAAATGATTAGTTCTGAAAAAAAAAGAAAGACTGACAGTTTTCGAGTTTCTTTCGAATCGGCAATATCTGAAATTTCACTATCGGTTGAGCAACTTACAAAATAAAATTTTATCAGTTTCGTTGCTATTGAACGCATTTCATTGGGCATTTTAACGTTGTTATGTTGGATATACAAAATTACCAAAAATGATGTCATTCTCTTCTTAACGTGAATATTTTATAACTTACTTGTGATATATTTACAGGAGTCGTGTGGATCCTCACTCGTGATCGACAACCTTCTAGAGATATAATGGAGAAAGCATATGGTGTTCTGAAAAGACAAAATGTTTCGAAAGCTTTTCTCATGAAGAATGATCAGAAAGATTGTCCAGCAGAATGATCCATATTAGAATTGTTAAAAGTCATATTCGAATAAAAACGAAATATTTATCAAACCCTATGAATATATCTGACTATCCTTCCAGAATTCCTTCTCCAACAAATTTTCCATGCACCCTATAAAAGCACTGGAAAATATTTCAACGTGTATAAATGTTGTAGACCAAGATGAAGGTGAGTCCAAAGTTTTCATTAAAAACAAGGTGAAAAAATCTAGAACTACGAATTTATTCTGTAAAGCATGTCTAGTTCATGAAAGCTACCGTTCCAGAATTCCTCCTCGAAGAAATGTGTCCGTGCACCGTTTCTTTGGCGTAATGTTATATAATCCTAATACTATGCAGGTAAATTCTTCCAGCCCTAGGCAGTTAGGTACCCTGATTGGTGATCAGGTAATTGTGTAACAAAGAAAATTTTTTCTGCTTATTTTTCAGTTTCGTGAACTTTTCCCCATTAAATTTGAAGCGCATGTAACTACATCCTATACATTTATTCCTAATAGTAATTAGAAATGGAATACAGAATAAAATTGAGCCTTCAGTGTCATAATTGAAAGAAGAAGAGACTGTCATTTAGATATGAATCTCGATTTTTTGCACCAAAATGAAGAATTCGTAAATTTAAGAATTTTGTATTGGAACAACATATTTAAGCACAAAAAAACTATATGAATGATTTCCAGAATATAACACCGAAAGGAGTGTACTGGCTGAAAATGTATTTATAAAAAGGGCATATAAAACGAACTCAAGTAATCAGAAGAAAATATCAGCGGGAGTGCATCGAATGTAATATATGAAACAGCAAGCCAATTAATGTGGCTTTGTTAAAATATATTAGATATCAAGAGACAAGAAGATCATTCAGATACTCCTGACCAGATCAGATGAACAGATTCGAAGTCGTATTCCTGCGTACCTGTGATGATATAATGAAGATATTCCATTTGATTAGTAAATATTGAGTTTCTCGGATGTTTGAGGTGTGAGCCTCCCACCTCAATGACCTCAGCAACCTTCTCATATGAGGGAATTTGTTAATCACCTGTGAATGACGATACATCAGATTTAACCATGCAGGTTCTTTTACCTCTGGTTTGGGTGAATCATCGCTGAAGCGCAAGCGTATGATACCTCACCCGGCAGGGGTATTCTATTTCGTCCACTGCATAATTAGGTTTCTGTGACTACAGCTGTATGTTCATTTCCAGTTCCGAAAATGTGGTGATATTCCCTGAATTGGGACACCGAATGCCCATTCTCGCCACATTTGTGGCAACTACAATACTTGTTAACACAAGCACTTGCCATACGATTCATTCTGCCACATACGAAACACTGCCTGGCTTTTGTCGAGAAGAAGTTATGCTGCTTTCCATCTGACGACTCATGTTTGTGTCCTACTTCGAATTGATTCTGATCAGCAGACAATTTTTCAGATTGTTTTCTGAAATAACATTGTAATTGTTTACCGGTTTCGTTTTCACAATTGCCTTCGACATTTCTCTGGCACGATACCCAAAAAGCGCACCTTCCTTGGATGAAACCAATTTCAGAAATACCCGCGTCGTATATGTTCAATATTTGTTTATCATTCATACCTATAAAGTAAATATCTGTCATGAATATATCCAAATATCACTTAATACATAACATTACAAATCACCTATACTTAACGTACACGTGAAATCTGAACTGTTTATGGTTACCTCCCAATATGATACACTTTCTTGAGGGCCCCCTTTTGTGTATGAAATTTCATTCTTTCAGAAATCGGGTACAATAACGTTAACTCGACATCGTCATTCTATTTGAATGAGATTTATTAAAACGCATCTGTAACAGTCATTGTGCGTTACGTGGATACATAAGTGGATATGGTTTTACTTGGCCCAACCTCAATATTACATTGACGAATATATTGAAGGATGAAAATGATTGCATCTATTATTTCCTAGTATATATCTGGTGGTATGGAAAGTTACTGTAGCATGTCTGAAAATGAAAGATCAAGAGCAATATATTATCCAGGCAATAAAAACATTGACGAAATCTATCGATGTAATAAGGATATTTTGAAAGAGTATAAGACTGTTTCCTGAAAGCTTGACATTTTCACGACAATTTGTTATAATTTTCTCATCAATAGTTTTTTCTTATCTAAATCAGTTCTCTAATGAAGCTAAGAAACCTTCAAAATGATAAATATTATCAGCTTGATTATAGTATTTGAATAAATGAGTAGAATTATTCTGAAAATGTTTTAAAAATGAATTTTTTGAACATTTACTGTGATAACTTATCTTTCTATGATAATCTTGAACATTCCACATGTGACAGTAGTTTTCCATGCCACCAGATATATACTAGGAAATAACAGATACAGTCATCTCCAACTTACGAAATCTTCGTCAATTTAATATTGCCAAATATCACCCAAATTACCCAGATTCATATTCGAATATAACATTGACGATGAGATAAACTCATGTTGACTTTATTATCTGAAGTGCTATTTTGATTGAATATTCGGTTATGTGATTGACTTATTGACTCAAATAGTTAATTTTTCAATTTTCTAAAGAAACGCTGAAACAGTTTTTTGCGCCAAAATGAAGATGCATTAGTGTTGGTGCTCAATTTATCTGTACTCGCTTTATAAGATACAAAAACCTCGTCGATTTCTGAAAACATGAAATTTTATACACCAAAAAAGTGTAGTGTATTGGGAGATAACCATTAAAAGTTCAATTTCCACTTGTACGTTGAAGGCCGATATGTTGGATATACTCCTGACGGATATTTTCGTCATGAGAATAAACGACATCAAAAAATTGTCAAGACAAAGAAACCTAACATTTTGAAATGTAATAAAAAGTTATCACAGAACAAGAAACTGAAACTGTAGAAAGAGTTCCTGTATCACCGCTTTGGTAGAAGCTATAAATACAAGCTTTATAACGGGTGTATTTCCGGCATGTTTAAAAAAAGCAATTGTTATTCCTTTGCACAAAGGAGGCGACACTTTGCCAACTTCAGACCTATTTCTATGCTACCCACCCTTGCTAAAATCATAGAAAAACTTGTTAAACAAAGAATTATGATATTTGTGAAAAAGCATAATATTATTAGACGCAGTCAGTTTGGGTTTCAGAGTTTGAAAAACACGGAAGATAGATAGTTTCATCTACTGGAAAACGTGTATCTCAATTTAAATAATCGTGAAATGGCAGCGGCAGTTTTTTGCGATCTTTCAAAAGCTTCCGATTGCGTAGATCATGAAATTCTGCTGCAAAAATTAGAAGTGTATGGCTTTAGAGATATATCTTTGAAATGGTTCAGATCATACCTGTCAGAACGTACTCAGAAAGTCAAACTCCCGGACAACATATCCCATCTCCAGAAAGTTACTTGTGGTATTCCACAAGGATGCTTTGCAGTTAGAATATCAGCAAATGAATTGGGCACTAATATGGCAAAAAATGTGTACTTTGTTCTCATCGATTCCCATCTGAGATACGGTATCTGTTTTTGGGGAACGTGTTGCCAATACATGTTTGATAGGGTGTTTGTACTACAAAAAAGAGGAATTAGAAATATGTGTAGAGTTGGATTCAGGGATTCCTGTCGACCTTTATTCAGAAAGCATAAAATCTTGACCTTGCCTTCCATACTTATATTGGAAATGTTATGTCTGGTGCAAAAAAAATACAGG